ATTAAATTAAAATAATTAAAGAACTAATATAATACTTTTAGTATATTGATAAAAAACTTAATATATATAAATAAGAAATAATTTTATAATTTTAACAGAAATCAAAACATTTCATATTATATAACATATATTTGAATATATTTGCAAAGTTTTAAAACTATAATTGAAATTTAAAAACTTTTTCTATTTCCTTAAAAATTTAAAAATATCGAGCTTTGCATATACTTGTTGCACCTGTACCTTTGCTACTAAAAATAGGTTGAGTAAGCATATGACTAAGTGTATTCAGAAGGTTGATGATAATGATTACATTATTTAGCAATCTTCCAAAAATATTTGCAATTATTTGAATATTATTAAAGCATCTCAAACTGAACTTTTTGATTTTGAAGAAAAACAATTTGACAATAGTTTTTCTGCTAAAAAAATTTCATTTGGAAATATTAAATTTCAAAATACTTTAAAATCTTCTAAAAATATTACAAGTTCTTCTAATTTTTCTAATGAGAATATTATACTTAATAATTTAGAAGATATGAATTTAGAAGATATATCCTTTGAGTTAGCTGACAATACTAATATTTTAATTAATTTTGAAATTAATCTTAATGCTAATATTCTTGATAAACATAAAAACAGAACTCTTCTCACTGATCTCTAATTCCAAAAGCAGAGTAGAAACAAAACATAAAATATAACTGAAACAGAATAAAAAACAGTCCTTGGGCCCTTAATAAAAAGGAGTTTATGTTCAAAAATACATAAACAATAGTAGAAGTACAACAACAGAAAAGGTATTGCTAACAGACTAAACTTACTTTAAGAAAAATTTTTCTTTTTTTAGTAGAAAATTCAAAAGTTTGAGAAATTATGATTGACCTTAAAAAACAAAAAAAGAACACATGACTGATCAAACAATAACAACAAACAACAAACAACAATGTCACATTTCTAATTAGAAAATAGATAGATAGCTAGTAGTTAATAGTAACACAACACAGATTGTATGTAAACAACTTAAAGAAAAAAGCATACAAGATAGAAACACAACAAACAAACCAATAGATCAGGCTATCGATACAGACATTATGTACACATTAAAGGGGCAGGTAATAAAAATCAAAAATACTTAATTTCTGAATTGTTAGACCAAATTCTAACAATGCCTGTGAAAGAACCAAGCAATATAGAGCATATAGCAAAGGACTTAGCAATAAACAACCCCAGCTATATTACACTAAGTGGTATACTGCTTTACAGACAAATTCTTAAGGCCTTGAGTCTAGCAGAATTTGTTATATTGTCTAATAGTATTTATAATATTGTTATGATATACAAGGTCACTAGGGTAATTCAGTGTTACCCTAGTGACCTTGTATATCAGTTCTGCAGAAATGGTTACTTTAGATCTTGTAGCTAGTTTTTGTTTCGGAAAGACGCAGTATGGGCAAAATTAACAGTTAATGTTGGTCAAAAAAAAGTTTTTTCATATGATGCTAGTTTTTGACTTTTTTCTATTTTAGGAAATTTTGACCAAATTGCATTTATCAGTTTTTAATTTCCAGCCCTGTAGAATAACTAGCATGGCATAGCACATACTTAATGCTAGATTTTAAATATTTCATGTTAACCAATCACATTTTTATTTTAAATAGTAGCTAGAAAAGTGACTTTTTCGAAAAATTAAAAACCTGTTAAAAATAAATATCTTTAGTTTGCAGATTAACAGCATAAAAATTTCCAAAACATCAATCTTTTAATAATGTCAACAATCTAATGTCAATATATCTTTTCATGAAATGTTTCTATTTTTGTTTATTTTCTTGACTTGTTTTTCTAGTAGTTAGTATGTAATATGTATTAGTAATTGTCAAAATTAAAATAGCAAGAACATGTAATGTACTATGAATTTAATAACTAAAATTCTTGAGTTAAAATATTTGCTGAAATTAGTTATAAGATTGTTATTATGTAATTACATGAAATCTTTATCAAAATATATGCCAAAATCATGGCTATATTGTTCAAATTCTTTACCATTACTAATTCCAATTGCATAGAGTAGATATGTTGTTAGGGATGTTAATCAGTTTTTTGGTCCAGAATAAACAATCTGTCACAATTATAGTTTCGATAAATTTGTAATGATCATAGTCTTTATAAAGTTAGTATTATTATTAGAAATGCTGAATATAAACGTAAATGCTAAATATGAACATAATTAACTAATAGTTTACAGATTTATTACATTAAGTTTATATTGACTGATGATGAGTAATTAGAAATGTTTAAATAGATAAACTCTGAATTAGATTGTATAGATGTCTTTAGTTAAATAGAATATTTAATAATAAAGTTACTAAGAATTATATAATTCAGTTATAATTTAGTCTTTATGATTAAATTTAGAACATATAGTTATTTTTGAATGTTTATTTTTAGGTAGAATTACGGTGCTGTTTACTTCGCCGACAATCATTTCACTGACAGCTTATTTGACCGACATCACATAGGGTTAGGATTAGCATTTTATTATTTACTGGTATATATTTTTAGTAAATTGTAGCCTGGTGTGATGTTGATTAAATGAGCTGTTGGTGAAATGATTGTCGGTGAAATAATACGGACCCGTAGAATTAGATTTTATTTTGAGTAAAAAAGTCATTCGTAAAGAATAAGTATAAAAAATTCCAAATATATAATTTATTTAAATAATAAATATAAAAATATATAATAAATAAATAATAATTAAAGACATAAATAGATAAAATAAAAATTATTCTTTTTTAATATCCATTTCATCGTTAGAATCTTTATCATCACATTCACTATTATTTAAATTTAAATCTGTAATATCTTTAATAGTATTATCAACTGTAATATCTACTCCTTTTGTTTGTTTTTTTTCTCTTTGTTCATGCTCATTTTTTAATACTTTAGCAGTTTTCTTAAAATTATGAATACCAAATTTTTTTTGAGAATTTATAGAATAGATTTTTGTTTTTTTTGTAGTTTTTCTTTTTTTTATAGGATCATAGTAAATAATATATTTCATTGAATAAGTCATTAAATAATATTTAGTATCTGGCATAGGATATTTTTTTCTTTTTTTTTATAAGTTACATCAAGACAGATTATGCCTTCTGGAATATCAATTTTTTCATAAGGATCATCTTTAAAAAAAAATAATCTTGCATAGTTATCTTCTTCATTAATAGTTTCAACTTTAATTTTAAAGGGTAAATTTTCAAATTCTTGAATATCATGATCGTAAACTAATTCATTCTCATTATTTCTTTTTCTAACATTTAAAGCACCTGCAAGAGACATATCTATTCCAGTATAATAAAATTTTTTAGTTCTTTTTATTTTCATTTTTATTTAACAAAGATAAATACTCATTTGTTTTTATAATTTTTTTTTGTTGGTTAAATTTATAACTAAAAATTTATTACTTTATTTTTTCAATATTTTATATTAAATTTTTTATGATGATTATTTATATAAATATTTAAATTAAATATTGTCATTAAAAAAACTCTTTCCTGTTCACCTCTGATCGGGAAAGGAAAATAAAAACAACAATTATAAAGTCACTAAACACAAAACAAAACCTAACAAAAAAGTCCACCTCAAGGGCAGAGCCCTTGTACCTAAGAAAAGAAAACTCCCTCTAAGAGTTGAACCTTTATTGACAGAAAAAACTTTTAAAATGC